GTATCTGACCTACTGGCTTTGACATCTTCCGAAAGCTCATCATCGTTGCTCCATTCTCGCCATGCTAGCTTTTCTCCAGGAGCATCCCCACCGTCTTCACCATCCCCATTTTTCCCGACCTTGCCAGTGCCTGATAGTTTCCAACCCATTACCACTGGACCGTTGACCCCTCTCTTCTTGTTATCGCATACGCTTGCCGGGAATTCCAGTCCTCGGAAGTGGCCAGGTCCGCAGCGTAGCGTCGATTCTGAACATGACGATGATGGATCTGGAGTGTCCAATACGAGATACAAGTAACTGTCTTTCTCGGGTGAGCCTCCATCGCCGTACATAATATGGGGGTCACGGGAAATGGTCGATTGCGGGAAGAACACAGGATGTGTGAGTGTCGATGTTTTCGACGTGGAGTCTCTCGGTGTATCTGCCTGATCTTGGAGAGGCGAAAGTGAGATTCTGATGATCTTAGGACTATAGGTCAATGGAGGCAGAACCAAGACAACGTGTTCAGCTGTCCAGTTTGTCATTATGTAAGGTCGAGGTAGTTCGTCAATGCTTCCCAGAAATTTGTAGCTGAAGCTTGCCAATGTGCCATTTTTGCGAGTCTGAAGGCTGTATCCAGAAGCAGTTTCAACAAATCCGAAACATGACACAATAACTTGACACTCCGCACAAGCGTCTTTCTGGTAGAAGCTGATAGACAGGAGCGTGAGGAAATTCCCGCACGGCGAAAACTGTACTTCTGTTTGAATGTCAGCGTGAGTCCTCATCATCTGTAGCAAGATGAGCCAGTAGTTGCTTTACCTCGTGACATTGCCATCGGCCTCAATGCTTCGTTTTGCCACTCTTCGGTGATCTCCAAACTTGTGCTGGAGCCAGTTTCGTCGTTGAGTAGGTCGACTCCACCAGACTTATAAGAGACAGCCACGATAGGCAATGTCGGATGACGAGCGCCCATTATCCTAGACCACGAAAAACGGTCGGTCTGGATTGGTCGCCAAACAGGTCTGCCAAAGTCATTTACCACGATGAGACATTCTGTCATCGGCTCGTTGCGTTGTTCATGCAGAACATCTGAGGTTTCCTGTCCTCGTGGCCTCCCCTCATTATTGCTCTGCGTTTCACTTGAATCAGAGTCATCATCAGAGTCAGAACTCCAGCCAGAGTCGTCATCGGAGTCTGAACTACTATCTTGGGAATCTGAGTGGTTAGCGATAATATCATTTGGTAACTTTGCCCTCTCATGGTGATGAACTAGGCATTGACCCTTGCGAAAATAGAATAGTCGAGTCATCGAATCCGAGTCTTTCCGAGTCGGTTGCGTCACGACGTCAAGCTGCACCAGATTCCATTGACCTTTGCCTTCGAGCCCCAGGTCCAGGTCTTTGAAGACGTGGGGAGGGGCCTGATCAATTCGGCTTCCTGACCTGCCGTCCAGAAGGCAACGAGTAATACTCAGATCACGATTGTTCACTTTCCAGCTCTGGAGAAAGGAGCCGCCCTTGCTATTCCGGGCGATTGTGGTGATCCATTCGCTATCAGGGGCTGCTGAGTCGAGGACCAACTCTTTATTTTGATCAGACTTTGACCGAGAGAAGACGTCCACTTGATTCACTTTGACCCGACGATGTGGCATCGAATCGTCCTCTCGAATGATCCGAAGCTGCAGTGTTTTGCCACGTTTCTTACCCGCAGAAGAGAATGACGACTCCAATACACGCATCTCGGTGGTTGATTCGAGTGACTTGGCAACATATTTGATGTGGACCTTTTGAAGTCCGCTGGGGGCTTTGAGGTGGCAGCTGGGCTTATAAAGAGTGAGCGGAACAGCATGATGAAGCTGATCAGGGTTCTTGGTAAGAAGTTCGCCCCAATCCAGAACAAAAGCACAAAATGAGTGGTCGAGCGACACATAATCGGCTGACGAAGAATCTTCTTTCCATGGCGGCAGGGGAAGTCCAAATTGAAGAGCCGCGTTAGGTATTGTTCCCAGCATCGGCTTATAATGGCTTGTTTCCCGCTTGTACCGAGCGAAAAGATGGGGGGCTGCATGACTTTGTACGTAGATACAGGTCCAAAATGCAGGGCTCTTGAGGAAATCTTCAACAATCTTCAGGGTCTGGGGGCTTGGAGTTATATCCTGCATATGCATATGCCAAAAGACGGCGGCATAGCGAAGGAAAGCATTGCTGTAAGATGAATCCGACTTTGTGACCAACGCTTTCAGATCAGACGGATCTTGGTACCGTTCCTCACTGAGATACTCGATGCAACTAACTCCGAGCTCCTCCAACGCTTTGGCCTCGTCAATAAAGAAGTCTGGCAGGTACTTCTCGATTATCTTTTTGTTCTTTGGGTCGATAAAAAAGTCCTTGACTGACTTGTGGCACAGTGAGATCTTCTGAGAACCATTGATGTCTTCCATGGTGATCAAAGGGCTGCAGACGTCCTTTACTCTATCGTAAACGTGAATTGCATCTTCCTTCGGTTTGATGTCTTCGTTGGAAGGATTGGTATAAGGTTGGAGGGCGTCGACGAGCTCCAGCAGTGTAAGTTCCCTTTCCGACAATGTGAGAATTCGAAAGGTTCGCCTGCACCAGCAAGTCAACATCATTGGCCGGCTTACAGACCTCAAAGTTCCTGTAGAGTTATAGATCAAACTCACTTGGCTAGATCCTGTTTGTGGTATGGCAGTCCCGCAATCCTGGCTAATGACTTGATATAGCAATCCTCCAAACCTCTAGGGAAGCTTTGCAAGGCGTCAATGGTTCCTTGTTTAGTTCTGTACGCCTTGTTTTTTGCAATCTCACAAATCAGAGCTGCATAGAGAAAGTTATGTTCGTCTGTGTCAAAATAGGGTTCGTCGTGGGTTGGGCAGATCCTCTGGGCATCGAGAAAGGCACGTATGTCTTTAGAAGTGTCCGTGAGGTTTGGCCTAATTTCGACGGCTTTGAAAGCGTCTTTTACGGACCGTATCTCCGGAACGTCTCTGCTTGTAAGGAACCATTTGACGGTCCCAAGGGTATCCAAGTTGAGAAGCTGCTGCAAGCTGTGAAACAAAGGGTTGCCATGAGTTCGAACGGAGCATTCGTCCAACCCATCTAAAACCACATAAACCTGGGGAAAACGGCTATGATTCAATAGTGCATGCAGAAGTCTGACCATTACCTCTCCGTCGTTGTTAGTCAGCTCGTGCTTGCAGGTTTTCCTTGCCCTATCATACTCGGCTTTTAACGGATTCGAGGCCACATCAACTTTGCTCAAAAGCTGCAGAGCGATAGATCGTAGCCCACAAGCTTCTTGCCGCTTGGACGCTGCCCTGAATGAATAGAAGAAATGAACAACTTCTGACTCGGGCTGTTCTTGCAAGTGGTTAATAACAGCGGATGCCAAAACGCTCTTACCAGAGCCTGGCGGCCCATTGTACCAAAGAACAGAATTCCTCTTAGCGTCTCTCCAATCTTTGAACTCTTGTCTCTCAAACAACCATGTGCAGGTGCCCTCTGTGCGACATATATTCCTCAATTCCAGGTCCTTATCTGCATCAAATGACTCGGCTTTCTCGCCACCTCTTATCCACCTTAGGATTTCATCTCTTGTTCTCTCCTGTTTTTCCCTGGCTCTCTCAATTGCAATGCTTGCGATGAGCAATTGGCTAACTTGTTTCGAGTCATCACGGAACTTCTCCCGGAAAGTCTGTATTTCTTGCTTGAAGGGTCGAATCGTCGACGACAAAGTGACTCTTGTGTAGCTTTTGGATAACACCCTAGCCGAGTAAGCCCAAAACTGTAGAATATTTTTGTATGACTTCTTGATGGCCTTAGATATCTGTGGAGAACTCTGCTGGGACATGGCAGTCATCTTGTAGCAGTCCAAGAGCGGAGAGACCTCCTCCAGAACATCGAGTATATCTTCCACGGCACCATGGGCTTTGGTAGCAAGTTCCAAGACGATTCGGAACCCAGAAACGGCGATTGCGACACCAAAAGGTGCAGGTTGAAGAAGGTTCTCGCATGACTTGGTCAAGGCAGTGATGCTTTCGACGAATGGGTTGACCTTTTCCCGTAGATGATGAGCCTTGCTTCCTGTCCACTTTTGTTCGACTTCGCGAATACATTGTTGGGTCTCTTCGATGGGGTCGTTGTGCTCTTCCTCTTTGCATTTTTCGATCTGCTCCTTTCTGTGGCTCACGTACTGCACGAAGGGATTGTCGGTAGCTTTTAGTGTCTCGGGATCTCGGAGAAACTCGTTGATTGCAGTTTCGCAAAGAGTGTTGAACAAATTTCCATTTTCGGTCGTGTTGAAGGATGATGTTCTGGAGAAAGATAGTGTCGACATGTTTATCCTGGCTTCCTAGCCAGGCTTGACCGTGCCTTTCTCACGAAGGATGTCGAGGAAAGAATAAAAAAGTCGCCTCCTGCTCGTGGAGGAGGATGGTTGTGTAGGTTAGGCAGAAGTGTCTGTCTCATTATGCATGCACGGAATGTGGGATTGAAAATAACAACCCCGCGCTCAACCCTGCCTGACCTTACTGTACTTATCTTTCAGCTGGCCGAGACCAAATGATCACGAAACATTGCAGATTTATCCCGATATATCCGAAAGGTCAAAGACTTTTGTCATTTGCCGTCAAGGTCTCGATTAGCTATCTCCACCAAGTTTTTTTCAGCTGTCAAGGATGTTTCGCAATTGAATGGTCTGATTTCTGCGCGTGATTTAATGCCGTGCCCCGAACAGGAATACATATGCCGTTGGTCTCACAGATAATCTTACCTATGCGTCTTTAGCTGCAGTAGCTGCGCCACGTATACAGAAATTCGTCTGACGTGCTTGCGCTATTGATGCAGGCTGACCGAGTTGGTTACCCGAACAAGATCTCGGCCCGTTATCTTCATTGAAAAATGGAACTACAACAAGACCCAGTGGCTACGTTCTTCGGTCGCACGCCATCATAGCGTCGACTTCTTGTTTCACGACATTCTCTTAGTCTTCGCTGTCGCAAGATGACTTCTGATCAACTGCACCCTAATCATGAGAATGGCACTGAGCCAGCCTCCCAAGAATCCATTTGCGAGTCCAAGGTGTATCACCATACTAAGAACAAAGATGGCAGAGACCAATGCAAAGAACAGCTTCAGGACTCTGAGCCAACAAAGAACTCTGAAGACGACGAGGACAGCCCATATGCCTTGATTGTCAGAAGACGATTTTCGGAGAAGCGAGAAGTCGAGTCAACTTCAGTATGCATCAACTCGCCACTGATTCATAAAGCTTTTCAAGATGTCATCGGCTCCTACCCAACGGTTGCATCAGATTTCAAGAGCTCTTTCAAGCTTGAGAGCCCATTTCAAATCCTTCTGCACTACTGGGATCCTCTAGAAGCCTACCGAGATGAGGCCGAATCTCCTCGGATGCGGCAACACCTCAACTTACTCTTCCGTTTCATGGAAGAAGAAATGGGTCCCGAGAGACGCACCCTCCAGCATATGCTCCAGAAACAAATGATCACCTTTAAGCAGGCATGGGTAATCTACCGTCCTGGAGATCTTGTTGTCAGTGAAGTTCTGGGAAAGTCGTGGTTATCGCGCGTGAAAAAAGTGTCTTATGGGACAAGCCGAAACCGAGGACCATACGTGACAATTCATATGAAATACTGCGACGCCAATGACGACGCGATTGGGGAAGCCCAACGATCTACGAACATCTTCCAGAGTGATTACTTTGCGTCAGACCATCCAGCCAAGATCAAAAGACTTCCCGTTTATCCACGAAAGTTCTGTGACCGTGGCCCGAACCTGGAAATCGAGCTTCTTGAGCGAGGCAAGAAGTTCATCACCAATCGTGGGATATTGACCAAAGACTATGATGGCATCGCAGAGTGGCTGAAAGAGCCTCCAGTCGACTTCTTTGATCCCAATATGGCAAACTATCCGCCTATCTGGCTACCATTCACGGTAAGTGTGTATGCAGCTTCTATGAATAGTACTTATAAGAATAGGAAACCGGACGTGTCGTACTTGATCGCAAGACGTTCGAAGAAGACAATTATAGCCACGTTACCATGATTGAAGAGGTTGATGATCCGGAACTTTTCCTCTGCCCGCCATATGCTCTGGGGTACTCAACTGGCCGAAAGGAGTGGTGCCGCTATCTAGTGGATAATCTGCGAGATGTGACATGGAAGGAGAACGCATGGTCGTCACTGATTCTTGACCAGGAACAAAAGCAGGTCTTGAAAGCTCTTGTCATGTCACACAAACACCCAGAGAGAGTCAGGAGCCTGTCAGAACAGAAGGGCAAAGGACTGGTGGTTCTTCTGTAAGTCTTAGCTGAGAACTCGCAGGATGAGTGGTATTGACTCAATGTTCAGGCATGGAACTCCTGGTTCCGGTAAAACGCTCTCTGCAGAAACAGCAGCCGAGATGTCTAAGAAAGCTCTTTTGTCCACAAGCATGAGCGAGCTTAACAGATATGACAGGTGAAGAATACCCCTTTAACGACTGAGGGGAGAAATATGTACTGATTTATCGCAAAATGAAGAGCCTATGCCTTCGAACACAGGCTCAAACAGATTCTACAGTACGCCACAACCTGGAACGCCATCATCTTATTCGACGAAGCCGACGTCTTCCTCGAGAGCCGAGACTTGACTTCCAGTAGCACTACTCGTACCGCACTTGTGGCCGTATTTCTCAAACACCTCGAATATTTCTCAGGCATTGTCTTTCTGACGACGAACCGCCTCAGCAGCATAGATGCTGCGATGAAGTCCCGCATCCACCTGTCGCTTTCATTCGGTCCTCCCGAGGCAGAGGTTCGCCGCCAGATCTGGAAACAGAACCTTGAAGCTGTCCCCATCGACGAGACAGAGATTGGTGGGGAGGAATTAAGTAGCAAGGCAGCCGAGGACTTGATACATCATAAGCTTAACGGACGTGAAATATCCAATGCTCTAAATACAGCGAGAACCCTTGCGAGATTTGAGGAGGTCAAGCTGAGTTTGCAGCACATTGAGACGGTACTCAAAGTTGGGCAGACATTTGGGAAGCATATAGGAGCTTGAACCATGTCATGTTTCAATGGAATAGCTTGATCCCTTCATTTCACCTACGAACTCCTTCAGCCAGCGTATTTTCTACCACGGCACAGTGCACGCCTTTATTCAGAAGCGCGATAGTGAATTATTTGGTATCCAACAAATGGCTAAGAAGTATGGAGAGAAGAACGATGAGTCTAATATAAAGACAACATCCACCAAAGCCTTGGGTTTCCGCCTCGTACCCGTGTATCTTCCCACTACTGGTAGAGAGACCTCCGTGAAGACATCGTCTAATTCAACCATACTCACACACGAAGAGACTGCAGGAGACGAAATGACTTCAGATGTATTATCAGGTGGTCCTTGTTGACGTAGTGTCAAGAATCACGGCAAAATCTCCACACCCTCCAGACACTTTTGTTCCCTCCGGATCTGCTGCAACGAGACAGACCGAATGGCTTGGCCAGAGAGCATTAGGTGGTGCAAGGCATCACCATGTGACCGGATGGCAGCTTTATCCACCTGTTCCTGGACCATATCGAGATTCCAAGTGGCATGTAGATCTCCGACGGCTTCCCAAGCCTGAAGGACAGAGGGTACTATGTCATAATTCCATGTGCCCCTCCAAAGAATTCTGGCTTGCTTTGAAACGCGGTTCACGCGATACTGGAAAAGCGCCGCCAGTCCCTTTTGTCCGTTCCAGATATCCATGGTTTCTAGCCGTGGCATCCTAAGAGCCGCTACCGCCGCTGCCTGTAGTAGAGCGCCTATCTTGGTAGAATCCTCTTCTGGCTTGAGGAGTCGGGAAGTCAATACCAGCGAGGTTAGTTTGGGCCACTCCCAAGACGGGTCAATTTCGAAGAAATGGCGAGCCTCTACAATGAAGGAGGCGGCGAGATGCTCTAGCGGGAGGCTGGTGATTGCAATCGTTCGGCTAACAGCTGGGGATGGGTTACGAATACTGTCGCACTCGGCCAAATCCTCCCCTTGATAAAATCGTTGCATAAATACTGGGTACTGTTGGTTAAAGTTCTCAAAGACCACCAACCTTTTAAGAGGATAATGGTCATGTTGGATCGACTCGAAAAGATATAGATATTCTAGACCATAAATATAAGTTGTAAGCCATAGCAAAGAATTGTAAACATCTATCAAAGAATAAAGGATAATGATGCTTACCCTTATCTGTATGGCGCTGGAAAACGTCCCACTCCCTCCATGGCTCATAATAGACTTCCTGGAGTCAGGGGAAACGGGTAAACATATGGGCCAGCGCGGTTGGCTTCCATCTACGGCGATTCTGTTGCCGGAGAAGTATACTCGTGACGGCGGAGACTGAAGGGAGCTGATTCCACCATTCGATTTCTGACTGTTCGCTACCAAACGGTCCCTCCTCCATGATAGGATAGAAAACTTTATTGACCGCTGCCCGAGGTGGAGCTGAGTGTCGAAAACCATCAACCCAGCCGTGGGGAGGGTCATGATAGCCTTGGTTTATTGTGGCCGGCTCTAGGCCACGACCATGTAGCCTATCGGAAGGGTTATCAGGCATAAAGGTCAGATAGGGAAACCAATGTTGAGCGTCACTAGGCGAGTAAATGCTAATGTCAAGCATTAATTCGCTGGCTTGGTTCCATCCACTGAGAGTCGAGAACAAACCCTGAAAGGCCGTGGTAATAGGACAGTGTTCTGTGTCGCTAACATTCATCGCATCTTCCACCTCCTCTCCTGTGAGCACTCCATTCCTAGGAGCACACTGAGTGCAATCATAGCCATCCAGTTCCAAGCAGAACCAGACATAGCGGACGAGAGCTTGATTGCGAGGGACCATGGAACGAAAGTCCATGAGGCGCGATGGGGTCAATCTGATGCGACTAAAATTGTATCGCTCGATGTCAGTCTGCCACGCTCGAGATACGGCGGCCAGGCAAGCTAGCGTAGAGCCATCTTGCATCAAACTTTGAAGGATGAGAAGGCGGATTTCGCTAGGCAACCTATCCCACGACGCTTTGCATGATGAAGGAGAATGCATGGTGGAATAGACTTAGAGGGGGTGGTGTCGCGATGCAGGAATGGGAGAGGGGGAAGGGGGATGAGGATAAGGGCACATGGGGGAGAAGTGGGGACAAATGAAAGCAATGCATTTATTTATACTGGTTACATTTCTGATGAATGGCCTGTCATTTGTTGGGCTACATATATGGTTTGAGTGTAAAAGGCTTTGAGCCTCTAACATAGAGTTATAAATAACCCAGGAGAGGAAAGAAAACTCAGGCTCTTGATCCTGAGCGCCGAAAATGCTTACTCAATTAACCTAAGCTAAAAAGACTCTTTATTAAGTTCATTTGGATACCCTATATTAAGGTCGGGAGTTTTCTTGTCTCCTGAGGATAGGGTATACAATTTATTACATCTAAGAGTCATCCTCAACTCCACCACAGTTGTCTGCCGAAGGGTTTGTCGTGCGGTGGAATAGAAAAACCCAAAGCTTCCTTCCATTCAACATGACTGACCGCTGCGTGGGAAAGGTCTCCACCAGAAAAAAAGAAACATTTGTCGAACAGTCTGTCCTCACTTGTCACTCGTCCCAAACCATCGCGAGGCATACTCCCCAGCCAATCGACGGAACTCCAGTAGCTTCCGAACAGGTAATGAAAGTTTATCATCTACGAAAGTCAGTATTTCTCAACAGAGTATAGATGGCTCTTACAAACTTCCTGGGCTTGTTTTCGAAGCCATTTCGCAATAGTTATGGAACGCTCAATGCTCTCCAGCGAGTGATTCATCCCCATTGCATTCAATTTCTCCAAGGCTTTTCGGTTCTCTTTGAGCATTTGTTCCAATTCTTGATATTTCTTCAATGTCTCGTAGAGTCTAATCGATGCGGTCTCGGGCCAGGGAGATGAGCCGAGACTCGATGGTGATTTGGGCGGAAATCTGGAGTTTGTCACCCAAAGTATGCCGCTATTAGGAGCTACAAGGGCTCTCAGATTCACCGTGATACGTGGTCGCATGGCAAAGCATTCAGGGGTGTCGTTAGGTGTGATGAGGAGTTAGGTTGACTTGTCTGCAAGGTGAATCGGAAGACCTCGTAAATACAGCTTGGGGAAAGTTATTTCAATCTTCAAACTCTCTTATGGGGCTAAATCGTATCAAGAATTTAGGGCTGTACAGCTTCTTTCTTGGGTCGTCTGAAGCCTGTTATGGCCTAACCTTAAGCCTAGAGGAGGCGATGTGGCATCAAGGTTTGGCATGTTTTCATGCCCAAAGGCCACTGGTCAGTATCTAAGTTTATAGAATTCCTCCAGAAAGTGGCATTTAGCCCAGAAATTCCATAAAATAGTAAAATGATTTTCGTGATCAAGAGCCTTGCCTCGGTGTGTATGCCCAATGAACCCTGAGTAAGTGGCGTTTCCTCACCTTGCCATCAACGCTTTTCGATCGCAGGGTATTTCGCTTTTTTTTAGAATAATATCTGATTGTGTCCATTAATCAAGTATTTTACTCACGTGCTGTCAATTAAACCTTGATGCGCCGTTGCTCTTCACGTATATTGTACAACAAACTTTAGTGTGCCTGAGAATCATGCTCAGTAACGTGATAAATCACATGATGCGCTTTGAAAAGATAAGACCAAAGTATTTGTCATTAATATAATGTTGTCAACGTGCCTTGGTAAGGGGTCCCGAGGTTCTGGCTTGGTTCAGCATGGAACAATCTCTGACCAATGCAACCCAACAGGGTGTACAGTATATACACCGGGTCTTACTCAAACTGCCAAGCAATATTATGCTTTGCTGATCCAGAATTCATCCAAAGGCTGGGGTAGCACAGCATGGAATGGCCGCACACCATCGCTCCCCCTCACTTTGTCATACAAGACATTCCGAGCCTGATCCGTTCTCCAACAACGGTATTGGTCAGTTATGTTAGATGTGCCACAGCATTACATTGTCTCTATCACACCGGCTGCAGCCAGAAACACGTAGGCCACGACCTGGAATGGAGGTACAGGGTATAGCATAGGGAACTAAGGTCTTATACGATTGGCTGCTTTAGATAGATGAGGCTCTGCGGAGGAAACAAGACGAGATTCTCAACCGAATCTAGCGGTGTCTCATGCGTTGTAGATGGCCGCTCCTCCCTGGCATCGGTGAGCTGCAAGACTTGACATCTTGGATCGGAGGGACTATACTTTCGTCATTTTAAGCCACTGCCTCTGGTTACTTGGCCTCTCGGGGCTTGGAGTGTCGCACGGAGCTTTAGGCTCTGAGTTGTGATACCACGGTCCACGGGGCATACAGCCTACCTATGATCCTTTCAGCTCGTCGCACCAAGAATCTGGTACAAGGCAGATACAACTAGCACTTTAGATTGCGACCGTCTTTCAGCCCCGTCTTCCAGCTTGTACAAGTTGCCAATCACCTGGATGTCACCGTACGCCACTTCTCACAGAGGCCGAACCCGGCGCCAATATGCGGTAAGAAGCCAGAGCCTGATTCTCTATACCTAACGACCCTCCCCTAAGGATTTGGGTCACCATCTACCCGTTCCTTCGCTCACAAGTAATTCCATACTTTTGCTACCCATCATATTCCGAAAAGGTCACCCACTCACTCCCAAGATGCGAAGAAACAGCCCATTTGACATCACAAAGTGTGCGCGGCCCAACATTCTCGCTTTGGAGCCCTACACCAGTGAGAGAGAGTACTTGACCCGCTAATGTCTAATTTCACTGAAGGTACTAAACAATTGTAGCGATTATCCACCTGGTGCAGACATCACTCTTCTTGATGCAAATGAGAATGCATTTGGCCCGAGCATTGATTTCAGTATAGATGGCTCAAAGTCCAATGGGACTAAGGGAGAATACGCCGCTCTTAACCTAACGGGCGCAAACAAGGCTGCTGTCATTGAGCAACCGACCGTCGACCCGAAAGGGTTACAGTTGCATCGCTATCCTGACGCGTAAGTCTCAACCACCAGAATCAAGCCATTATTCTAACAATCAGACAAGCCATTCAATGCAACTAAGGCAGAATTTTTGCGACTTTCGCCAAGTTGAAGGCGGGAGGCCTCTGACTGTACAGAACGTCTGTCTCACTGTTGGAGGCGATGAGTCCATCGACATCATCATCCGCGTGTTTTGTACCCCCGGCAAAGACAAGATTCTCATTTGCCCCCCAACTTATGGCATGTACGAAGTCAGTGCTCACGTCAACGACGTAGGTATCGTGAAGGTCAATCTTGATGTTGACAACGGCTTCGCATTGAGGCCTGATGCCATCAACGAGGTTCTATCTGCAGATCCTACTATCAAAGTGGTATTCATCTGCTCGCCAGGAAATCCAGCTGGGAACCTTCTCGAAAGATCTGATATCGTCAAGGTTCTGGAGCATCCGACGTGGAATGGCATTGTGGTCGTTGACGAAGCGTACATTGACTTTGCGCCCAAAGAGTCCAGTTTCGTCTCTGAGGTGAACACTTGGCCCAATCTCATCGTTACACATACCATGAGCAAAGCCTTTGGTCTCGCGGCAATTCGGCTGGGTATATCCTACTCTCAGCCTCAAATTGCTCGTCTGATGAACAATGTCCGTGGACCGTACAACATGTCTGCTCCAACAGTGGCTCTAGCTAGCGCTGCACTATCCCCGGAGGGACTCTGTGTCATGGAAGAGAATCGAACCATGATGGTTCAGCAGAGAGATCGACTCCTGCAAGAGCTTCCCAAGATTCCAGGCTTTGGCAGATTTCTTGGTGACTTCCACACCAACTTTGTATTGGCCCAGTTTCTTAACAAGCCTGCGGACCAGGGTGGTGTACCAGACAATGCTACGGCAACGGCCCTCAAAGATTCTTTGGCTACTCGAGGACCTATTCTTGTCCGGGATCGTAGCAAGCAGATTGGCTGCTCTGGATGCTTGAGGATCACAGTTGGGAACAAGGAACAGGTGGATGATCTCCTTGCACAAATCCGAACTACACTCGAGGAGATGTACAAGGCTAAGTAGTAAGAGTAGCTAGGAAGGGATTGGAGTGTCTCTAGTAAGAGAAAACCACTGAATATGGACGACTGAATACTCTGTGTTCTTGTTTTTGTGACCATCCAGAACCAGGTCTTGGACGTGACGAACCTCGGTGAACAATGATGCTTTGCACCATGATAAATCCTTCAAAAGGTATTCGAGACCCTACGGAGACATCGGACGGGCCGATTTAACTTCCTAACACACCAAATACACAGAGCCTCAGCTAGCTCCAGATCGCCGATCCCCAGGTCTTCCACCCGCACTGCAAGTCGACCACACGGTATGCTTACGGCGGTCTCAGAACACCAAGTGCCCAGAAACGTCTCACCACTTTTCGGTAGCCAGCGACATCCTCTCGGTCTGACCGAGTGCCATACCTGCAAGGAGGGATCAAGAGTCACACCACTGTTGATATTTGGCGCAAGGAATGAATCGAGAGTGGGCGATCAGCGATCCTGGGGAACCTACGCAATGAATGCACCCCTCCGGAGGCGAGGGGGCCAGCCAGCCCTGTAGGGTTGGATGCGCACCACCGTTCTGGGACATGTGCAGTACATGGCTGAGAGGTGGTGACACTCGCGGGTTTGTCGCCAAGCTTGGATCTCACTGTCGCTGTTCATTGCGGCTGAAGAGAAGAGTAGAGAATGCTTGATTCATCTGGTATTAAAGCTGTTGCACGACAATGACAGCCCTCACATACATCGCTGCGAAGCAAATACAATCAATTTTGGTGCAAATGTCTTCAGATCATCAACCTCACAACATTGTCATCATCGGTAATCTATCCTCACCCTGAGTAGGTACGTAAAACACGAACGGCTAACAAGATCTGTAGGTGGCGGCGTGATCGGGTGCTGTACAGCCTACTACATAACTCGACACCCAGCCTACAATCCCCAAAGAGATCAAATTACAATTCTCGAAGCATCAAGCATTGCAGCCGCTGCATCAGGCAAAGCCGGGGGTCTCATAGCGCTGTGGGGTGAGTATTTTAAAGCTCTGAATGGCAAGGCAGATTTGTCCTGACTCCTACTACCTAGCATACCCCAGTTGCATCGTCCCTCTCAGCTTCCAGCTCCACGCCGACCTCGCGGCCCACCACGGCGGAGCGGAGAAATGGGGCTATCGGCGGATCCATAGCGCTAGACTCGGTGCTCGGGGCCGGACGCGCTCCGGACTAGCTTCAGCCTCGGATGCCGGCGCAAGAGGAAACATGGTCATTCCGACGGTGCCGGCGGACTTGGACTGGCTTCATGTTGAGAATGTGCATAGCTATCGGTCCACGGGCACGCCGGAGAACACAGCGCAGGTGATCCCATATGAGTTCACCACGGCCATGGCAGATTTGGCGATTGAGAAAGGCGCCAATGTTGTCTTGGGCCGGGCGATGAGCATTGATACTATCAACGGGTCTGTCAAGTCAGTTACTTACGTCCCAAAAGACTACAGCGCAAGTGTCACTGTCTCAGCGACAGACGTCGTCCTCTGCGCTGGACCGTGGACTCGAAGTCTCCTCCCAGAGGCGCCAATTGTCGGCCTGCGCCAACACTCAGTCATAATGCGCCCTACGCGACCGCGCCCGCTGTCAGGCTACATGCTCTTCACGGAAATATCCCTCGCGACATCAGGTGTCCGTCGCGCGAAGCATGTCACAGCCGAGATCTTCACCCGACCCAACAACACAGTCTGGGCAGCAGGCGATACCGATGACATATCGTCTTTCAACATCCCGGAGACGGCTGATGAGGTGCTACCAGATGGAGAAACGTGTGATAATATTCTCTCACATGTAGGCGCCATTTCTGATGAGCTGTGGACCAGTGAGGTGTTGTCGCGACAGGCTTGCTACTTACCCAATGTCGAAGGCGATGTTCCAGGTCCCATTTTGGGCAGCACATCAGTCAAAAGACTATGGGTCGCGTCAGGGCATAGTTGCTGGGGAATACAAAATGGTCCGGGAACTGGGAAGATCATGGCTGAGTTTGTGTACGATGGGAAAGCCATGAGTGCTGACGTGGACGAGTTGGACATCAAACACCTCAATGGAGGCGCGCAGGATTGATGGGAAACCCTCAAAGATCCTATTTCTCCAACTATCTATATACACACTCATTATGTCGTTAAATCGTGATAGCCTGTTTCTCCGAAACTGGTCCAAGGGCCAGTGTCTATATACAAACCCCAATCATTTGAACAACACCGCACGCCAGCGACTTCACATTGTCCTTTGAACATGGGGCGCTGATATGTCCTCTACATGCTCCGTCGTAGTCTCAAACTCGGACTTCAGTAGCGATATTCGTCTTGCGGCACTACCGCGTTGTCTCTTCGCCTCCAAGGCCAGCACAATGTCCGCATACCCATTCCACGCCGCCCACTTCAACGCCGTATTTCCACGTCGATCTGCAGCATGGATCTGGACGTCGTCGAGAGTCATAAGAAACTCGACCACGTCTATATGACCCTCGCGCGCCGCCCAAGAAAGCGGACTTTGTCCGCTGTTGTCTTTCTTGTCGGCATTGACGTCCGATCGTGACGCCAGCAGTCTGACTACAGAGGCGTGGCCATTGTGTGCCGCCCACGACAACGGTGTGCGATTATCTGCGTCTGGTGTATCGGCACTGACGCGAGAAGTACTCAATAAATAAGCAACAACGCCAATATGACCGTTGTGAGCTGCCCATGAGAGCGGCGTTTGACTAAAGTCATCTTTTGAGTCGATGTCAACTCCAGGTGACTCAGCCAGCATCATTGTGATCTCCAGGTGCCCGTTGTAAGCGGCCCAGGATAACGGAGTCTGTCCGCTTCTGTCGCGCGACTCTTTGTCTACCTGATTTCTCGTGATTAGATATCTCACTGCACTTGCAGCACCCATCCGTGCAGCCCATGAGAGCGGCGACTGAGAGTGAGAGTCTTTCGAGTTGGCACTGACAGCTGGGCAATTGAGAAGGACCTTGAGTACATCGACATGTCCGCGCCCTGCAGCCCACGATAAGGGTGTACGGCCTTGCTCATCTGTAGAGTCCGTGTCCGTGTCCGTGTGCTTCATTAGCAGTTCGACGGTATCTTTGTGTCCATATTCGGCAGCGTAAGACAGTGGTGTTCTGCCAAAGTCATCCTTGACATCTGCCTGTGCGTCGTCGTCAAGCAATTGAGACACAATCTTGGTAAGCCCAAATTGCGCAGCGATGTGAACCGCACCAATTTTTACAGGCACCTTGGCACTGTAACCTTGGAAATGATAGCCCGCCACCATTCGCACCTGTACCGCACTAGCGATTCTCCGATCGTCTTCAAGAAACTCAAGGGCTGCTTCATCGACTTCCTCGTCGATGGCATCGCGCACATGGTCGCCCCAGTTCTTGGCACAGTAGTCTAGTAGTGCATGCTTATGCAAGCGATGCTCGAAAGCACTGTCGCTCTCGCAGGCACCCGCGGCAAAGTCATCATATGACAGGTACGCAAGGGAGCTAAGGGCAACCTCTTTATGGGAGTTAGGAAGCCACCTGTGTCTAACTTGGTCAAGGTACTCTTGGGTCGTATAGTGCACGAGGCTGATGATGTTACTTTTCTCATCAACAACGACAAGTCCTTCGCAAAAAGACAGCATGTCTTCAAGCTCGGGAAGATTGCACTCGTCAAGTTCGGTCTCGTCAGGCTCAATTGCCAGCGCATGTCTGAGTTCCGATGTGGTCAGAGGTCTGCGAGCAATGCTGATCCACGTGAGGACCGACTTGGCCAGGTCACGACAGCCCGGTCGCTGCGAGTCGATGCGGTCAATGGCTTCTGTGTATGCAATGTTGAGAGCTTCTTCTCCAGTGGGAAGATTCTCAAGTGCTCTGAGGACTTCCTTTCGTCGCAACTTATCACGCAGTGAATCAAGATGAAGGCGTGCGAGCAGGAACCTGGCTGGTAAGCATGGAAGGTTGGCCAAGGGACCGTAGGCTACAAACTTACATTCCATCGACAGCTTTGGCAATCCCTTCAACAACCTGGTTCTGGAGAGCCGGCTTGCTCGAGATGCAGCTCGGCATCCCAGGCATTGCGTTCTCCAGCACCTGACGCACGTCTTCCTCCCGGGCGCTAATCTCCAGTTCCATGCCGTTATTGAAGTAACGCCTGACACCAGCAATATTCGGCCGCGATGTCGCCAGGATACTAATATTGCGCTCTGACTGTAGCTGGAAGATTCCGTTCAAAAAGTTCGTCAAGTCGCCAGCCGTCTTGGAGTACTCGTCTAGAGCATCTACCACCATGTAGACCTGTTCACGAGAGTCAATAACAGTTTGAAGTGCCTGAACAATCTCATCCAAAGATGGTCTTGTCTGGTTGTTCTTATGCCGGCGATACAAACTGCGTATAGTTGGGGGCATCTTGGGTAGTTGCTGAACAAGCTGTTTGAGCAGACTGGCCATACAATCCTGGACGCTCTGTTCATGCTGTCGCTTGTAACTGCAGTATATGAACGCGACACCAACTCTGTCCTCTGGCTCAAACCTATGCAGTAAGTCGTCAATAACAGATGCAGCAATGACGGTCTTGCCTCCACCTGGAAGGCCGGGGCAGAATAGCGTGCCGCGAGTTGACTCTCGCCAATCTACATATTGCTGAGAGGTGAGGAACCATTTCCCAGTGCCGGAGTGGCGTCTGGTCAATACATCGTTATGCTGTGCTGCATTTTGTAGTGACGAGAGCCATGACGTGATAGTAGTGAACTCTTGGTCTTCATTGAAGTTGTGAAGCCGATCAATACTCTCCTGTACCTTGACAAGAGAGTGGCTGCGGGTATGTCAGCTTGGATCTTTCTAAGGTGAGATGAGCCACGTACCCATTCAATGTATCGTTGATGGTGCTTAACAAGACAATATTGGAGGTTAATCGTTGTCGCATATCCTTAATGTCATCTGGTTCCCAGCGAAGTCTCCTCCATATTTTTCTTGTTTTACCATTCTTACCGTCTAGAGAGTGGTACTTGAGTAATA